CTGTAATGGTTTATAACTTTTTATGCAGACTTGCTAAGAACAATCAAACTATACTGAAGTGCTCTGACCTCGCTTTCACAACTTGATCGTGTGGTTGGGACCAACCTTGTCCGAAGTCCTCTGCCATAACAATCATGCTAATTGCCAGCAGAGGACCGTGAATTCGGTGCATTCATAGACGTTTCGCCAGCAGCCTGAGTGGGCATTGCCAGTCTGAGCTCCGAGCTACAACTCGTTAAAGAGACCGAATTCACGGTTCGCTGCTGGCAATTGGTATGATTGTTATGGCAGAGGACTTTGGGCAAGCTGTTTTCCATTAGTCCACATGAAAACAAGACCAAGTTGCGGAAACGAGGTCAGGTTATTTCGATAGATCAAAAGAAGACTGCAGCCAAAACAGAGGCCATACCATCTTGGTCTTCATTTCTACCATAAATTAGTACTGTTTATTGTTTTCATTCTTTTTTTATTTTTATATTTACACTGATTTTATGTTTTAATCATTAGCGATGGTTGACTCATGTTTTATAGAGGCTTTACTTAGATTTTATTGAGTCATTCAGTTGGCTTGTTAGCCGTTTTTTATGAATTAATTTTAATGCATTCGAGTGATTTGCATCCGGCCTTCTGCTACATGAAGTCACTTCTCTGGAATTAAATTGAACTTAATCCACTGACAAAATGAGAATCTATTTCTCATACTTTGACAATAATTTAAAATAATGCCTTATTATTTTGTAAAAGTCTTGAGAACTGGTAGCGCGGAATATCGGACTAATTGATATAAATTTTAGTGATTTAAGGATTCTCGAGCTTTCTGAAGTTAATTACCATGGAGATTCCAAAGTTTCCCTGAATAAGGTTGTATTAGATGTTGGCTGGAAGGGATTTAAAAAGTAGCCTTGCTGGAGCATGGAGGAAGATGCTTCCCTTATTTAGACCCCGGCACATGCGTGCTGACCTCTTGTCTAGTCTACTGAGGCCGGCAACTTCATAAAAGCAACATTTCTCTATTATAAACTTTCAGATATTTTCAACCGACAATGGCGCACTGATATAGGCCTGCCCATGGAACCAAAAATGAATAAAGGTTACGTTTCTTGGGTGTTCCACTTACGAGAGTTGGGTTTTTTGATAAAACTCGAAAATACTTTCCACCTGCTACGATATACACATACTTGTTCTGATGGAAGAAAGGAGATCGAATGATAATAGAAGGAACTAGTCACAAATGAGTGTGGAAGACAGATCGAAGTGTTTGCCTTATATATATATAAATTTAAATATATAAATATATAAATATATATATATATATATATGAAAGGTTTCTATTTTGCCTACCAGGCTGATTACTTACATCATTATGTATATAAATAAATAAATAAATAAATATATATATATATATGGAAG